CTTGGCAGGTGTCCCTGAATGAGAATGCAGCCCTAACATCTGAAATGGCTACCCATCTGAGATTGGTCCAGTTCATTGGTTTGTCCTTTGACTTGAAAGATACCACTAATGCCTTCCAATGTGTTTGCACACCCTAGGTCCTCTCCATATTTTCATATTTTCCTATCTGGGTCCAGGCATGTTCTTAAGAGGTTCCGATGACCTTTGGAGCAGGTTAATTTCCCATAGGAAGAACACGGAGACCCAAAGACATGTGGAATTACCCAGGTAACACAAAAACAAAAGCTGAATGGGTGTGCTGATCACTCCTTCCTGCCCAAGCTCTCTGCATATCCTCTTGCACCAAAAAACAAAGATTTCATTGCACCAAGACAAGTAGGTCAACACTTCCTCTTGTCTCTTTACTATGTTCCCAGCCAACTTCCCTATCCATCTATTCTGAGGTTGTCTTAAGTCTAATTACTGTTTTTGTAACTTCAAAGTTAAAGCCATCAACCATTTTGGAATCCCATTGCTGATTCCATAAGAAAATCATCAGATCTTTGTTGCATTACAAGATAGCACACCCCTTGAGGGTAGGATCTGAGATAAATATCAGTCCTAAAAGCTAACCTTCCTGAGAACACAGTAGAGCAGGGGTAGGCAACCTTTCCCCTTTAAGGGCCGAGGGACTTCAGCTCCCAGAAGCCTCAGCCATGTTGGCCATAGTCCCATGTTGGCCAATAGCTCCTGGGATTCTGGGAGCTGAAGTCCCTCAGCCCTTAAAGGGGAAAGGTTGCCTACCCCTGCAGTAGAGAATAGAAAGTACCGTGTGCCTAGAGAGACCCTCCTACTCATTGTGTCACTCTCAGACCCCGGTTTGACCCACATCCCGCTTTCTGTGGTCACTTCTCCAGACAAGTAATTATCACCCTTTTGCACCCTTAAACCTCCACTTTCCAATTTCCATAATTCCATTTAGGTTAGCTCTGAATGCTGTGTCTGTCTAAATTACTATGATATGTTTGGTTGCACTCTTTCATATTTCTAAATAAAATCTAATTTTATTCACCCCAGATTTGGAGTTCTCTTCTGTTAATACTGGTATACACAAATGGAATTGGTCCTCAAGTTACTCAGCCTCTTGCAAGCTTCCTTGAGCTAAACAAATTCTCAACTTTTAAGAGAAGTTGACAGTTGATGGGGACTTCCTAGTGTCCCCCCCCCTGCAATAAATGGCTACTGTTACATGGGATAGTAACTTTGCTTTTTGTATTTCAATGGTTTTACAATATCATTCTATTTTAGAATATCCAGAGTAGGAATTAACATCAAGACCCCAAAATGTCAACTTGATAAGGGAGAATATACCTATCTTCAAAAGATGAGTGGATGTAGCATTAAAACTTTAGATTACAAAACTGAATCCATATGAGATTAGCCTTTGGCTTCAGCCATTTGTAGTGTTTGGCAGTTATTCGCACCTTGCCTTCTTTCAGGAGTCTTGCTGCTCCTTGACTGGTATGTAAAAACAAAACAAAACACCAGCAAGATAAAATTCAATGGGCCAAGGAGTGTCAGCACACTTTTTATGCTTTAAAAGCCAAATTAATCAAGTCTTGCAAACTCCAGATTTTGATCAACCCTTTGTTTTGAAAACAGGCTTCAGAAGTCAGTTTTAAGGCAGTTTTATTGTAAATTGTCCCTGACTAAAATGTCTGTTATGAGAAAAGATTGTCCTGCTATAGTATGGGCTTTGAGAAAGCTCGCAACCTTACCTGACAGTTCCAACTTCAAACTGATCATTCATTATTTTGTTGATTTTGTAAAGTTAAGAACCTAAATAAAAAATACTACATCCTACAAGGAACCTATGTTTGGTCTTGCCTTTCCCAGAGCTAGCTTATCTATAACCAGACTCAATGAGATGAAAGGTTGGTTAAGGAGCAAGGTCTTTAAATATCCTTGACCCACTCACAAACAGGGATAACACAGGTACTTCCAGCATTATGCCACCCTAAGAGTATGTGTGAACAAGCTGGTGCAAAATAGAATCTTACCAGAAAGATGCAGATATGAGACAAAATGTGTTTATACCTGCATTATTTCTTGCTTGTTAGTGGCTCCATGATGTTCAAAGGCCTTGCTCATTAGTCAGAAAATGTCATCTGTGCTTGGAAAGAACCTCTTTGGGCATCAAGGTGTGAGAATTTGGGGCCTGAAATTCTAAATCTAGCACCTGGCTGCTTGGTTATTGCTACTGAAGACTGAATATTAATTTGGCTTGGGACTTTTGGGAACAAATTGTACAGAGTTTTACCTGTTGTCCACAAGCCTCAAGGATGTTGTAAAAGGTCTGGCTTTCCCCTGGCTCAGGATGAGTAGGACAGAATGGATAGCTGGCAGTTCTGCTTTGCCTGCTTGTTTCTGTCCTGGTGAACATATGCTAGGATGTCTGGAAGTGACAGGAACACCTTACAAGTCCTAAGGCTTTTCTTATTTTAGGAGGCATTTGAGAAATGGGTATTCATATAAATCACTAGGTATTACCTCCCCCCCACTGGGTCCTCCTGTAAGTAGCGGACCTTGTTTGCAAGAATTGGTGAAAAATTTAAAATATAAAATACTGAGAAGGGGTAAAGGAGAAAAAAAGTAGGTAAGAAATAGAAACTGCATTTCAGAAGTGCATTTTAGCAATACGCTTTCTGTTTCTTACTTACTGTTTTTCTCCTTTCCTCCCTCTCAATAATTAATATTTTAACCTTCATCTATCCTTGTAAACATTTTACAAAACGAATCCCAGTATATTTGGCATAAGATGTCTACTGGGAAGATGGTGAAATGCTTACTTACATTTGATCTGGTTATACTTGGATTATATTTCTCTCTAAATAGGGATTATGCAGGCAAAAACCTTGAAAGCAGCCAGATGATCCCTGTTGAGATATAAATATAGTCCTACAAGGATTAATTAGCAGAATGGAAAGTGCTTCCCAGACTAATCAGAGTAAACATAGATTTACCCATATGTAGTACCCAGCTTGTTGGGAGCAATTAGCTTACAATTGTAAACCTCTTAGAGACTGCTTAGTGCAGTATGCAGCGGTATATAAATGGAGTTGCTATTGCTGTGCTCTGCCTACAGACATTATTATTACAATGGCATTTAAACTGTGATTATACCTGGAAAGAAGCAGCATTGGCCATACTCATTCCGCAATGCTGCCTCTGACCTATAGCTGCTCTGTTCCCAATCTGTCTCTTTTCAACTGGCAAGTGGTCCAAGTCCCCAGGCATGAAACATTGCTCTGGGTGCAGTTGCATGACTGTAAATCATGTGGTGTCAGTGTCCTGTCCTCCCCACTTGAAGTAAAAAGTTTCCCTACCTCTCGCTATTCCTGATTACCTTTATTACCTTTATTTATTTTTTCAATTTCTTTTCTTTGTTTCTTTTTACTCCAAGCACAGTAGGAAAGCTCCAGAATTGTGTGAAAAAAATGGGAACCTCATCACAAAAGACCTAAATATATGCTGGGTAGGGCATAAAGCAGGGAGTCAGGCTTAAAGGAGAGTCAGGAAGAAAGCACGATGGTGGCAGCAACCACGTTTGCACAAATGAGAAGAGGTACAATAATGACTGCCTTGAAAGCAGTATGTTCCCACTAGCTGTCGAGGCTTGTGCAGAAGACTCCTAGTGCTAGAACAGCTTGGAGCTTGGGAAGAGACAGACTACAAAGTGTTCTGTAGTGCCCTCTCCAGTTTTCTAGCATGCACCTGAATCAGGAATTATGCAACAAGTATGGTGCAGACAGAGTAGAGAGGTGATTGGAACTTGTGAACACCAGCAGTTCAGCGTGATGGGAGCAATTTTTAGTTGCTTGGAGCCCCCTCTCCAAATACCACTGGAACAGGTCCATTTAGGCTAGCATAGTTTGTTGCCCTCTAGTTGAAGCCAATGTGGGGGAGAAATTAAAACCTCTCATTGCCAGGGGATTAAAAGGAGGGAGAGATACTTCCCCACCATGGCTGGGCTGGGCTGGGCTGGGCTGGGTTGGGCTGAGCCAGTGGAGCTTGAAAATGGTAGAACATCAGTAACTTTACACACATACATACACCAATTTGGAATGGCTGCATTATCCATTTAAAGGTTAATTCATCATCTTTTTTGTTTTTAAAGCAAAACCAAATTTAAAAGAGATGCAAACCCACACTGAGGAAAGGAGGAAGTGTTTAGGAGCCCTGGTGGCGCAGTGGTTAAATGCCTGTACTTACTCACAAACAAGGTTGAGTTCAATACCAGCCAGGGGCTCAGGCTCGACTCAGGCTTGCATCCTTCTGAGGTTGCTAAAATGAGTACCCAGCGTGTTGGGGGCAATTAGCTTACAGTTGTTAAACTGCTTAAAGACTGCATAGCGTGGTATGAAGCGGTATATAAATGAAGCTGTTATTGCTATTGCTACTTTAACATCACAGGTTTCAAGCAAGTTTCCACTGTACACCTACAGAACCAGTTTTCTCTGCCTTGAACCTGGAGAGAAAATTGTTCATTTGAACAGACCAGAGTGAGTATGGCTGTACAAAAACTGTGTTACGCAAATAATGACTTTATATGTACTATCACTCATAGCAATGCAAGTAATTATAGTGATTTCTAAGTTGTGGGAGGCAGTTATGGTTTGTGTGACTTGAGGTACCAAAGGTAGAACAGAAAGATATAATCTTTAAGATGAGATCTGGCCCAAGCTGGAATGATGTTTTTCATACTGAAACTATGCGGTCTCTCACATATAAGAAGGTAATTGTATTGCACTTGTCATCCTACCCTTACCATGTGACTCTGCCTCTGGACATGCTCTAATTGTTGTTGTTGTGTGCCTTCAAGTTGTTTCTGACTTATGGCAACCATAAAGCAAATCTATTATAGGGTTTTCTTGACAAGTTTCTTCAAAGAGGGTTTGCCATTGTCCTCCACTGAAGCTGAGAGAGTGTGACTTGCCCAGGGTCACCCAGTGAGTTTATATAGCCAGTCTGGGATTTGAACCCTGGCTTCCAGAGTCATAGTCTAATGCTCAAACCACTACGCCACTGTCAAAATGTCTCACACCACTGGCAAGTCAGCCCTTCTGTTCAGCACTGGGAAAAGCCATAATGGGCTTGTTGCATGGATGTAGGCAATTCAGTAGGTTAGTTTCTCAAGTATTACATTGCCTTTGGAAAACTTTGATAGACTTTGGTTACCAGGTGCCACGTAGGCATACATATGGGTGAAAACTCCCATTTAATTTTCACTCAGTTCCTCATACAATCAGCTGCTACAGGCAGTAGGTGCTAAGAAAGGGCCTCAAGATGTAAAAGTTGTTTGCTAAATAGCTCTCCATTGCTACTATTATGTTGCAAACATCTACGGCCTAATTATCCCCCTTGTTTCTACCTTTTAATAAGCATGCACAGTCAGGCCATTAGTAGATAAGACTGATTTGATACATGTGTGGCAGATGTGGTTCTGTGGTTCTCAGAAGTTTCCCAACTTCTTTCTTCTTTAATTTCAGGTGCCCCAAGGGAGGTGTTAAGTAAGGTGAAGGAGCTTAGTTGGATCTTAGGATCTGAAGTTATCTGTGGGTCCTGGGCCAAGGTATGTGGGAGGGTGTCATGCCCATCACCTGTGTCATCAAAATACTCATTTTCATGACGGCTCCCTTGGGGACTGCTAGAACTTAGCACCATGTAGTGCTGGCAGGAAGAAGGCTGGCTGTCCCAGTCTGTCTGTATCTCTGAAATACTCTCAAGAAGAGGGCCATAGCTTTGTGTTTCCACAGGCCTCTCAGATAGCACTTCCAGCAGACAGGTCAAAGGTACATCTTCCAACGTTTTGTTGCAGAAGAAAGGATTCACCTAAAAGATGGGAAAGAAGCAGCATCAGAAACACAGAAGGATCTTTGGACTCCAATCTAGACATTGTTGCACACATGCACATCCCTCTTCTGATTTTAGAAAATTACCCTGTTTTTCCACCCATCGACTGCATTAGGATAAGTGTTGCATAGATTAAAGAGGCCTCACCTGTTGCTGCTGCTTGCCATTGTCCTCAAGGACCCCATCCAGTACATGGTGAAGGTCTGGTATGGGTGGCCAAATCTTTTCCTTCACAGTGCTAAACAATGAGACAAAGACTGTGAAATCTGCAGCTTGGGAAAGTTACGGTATGTTTTTTGGACCACAGTTCCCAGAATCTCTCCCTCAGTATCACAATGTCCATGATGGATAGTGGATTCTAGGGACTATAATCCAAAATAACTATTCCAAGTGTTGAAATCTGGAGAACCCAGTCTATAGCATAGCCATACGACTATGCAATATGCACTTTGATGCTCAGTGAGCAGAAGTCCACCTCTGTTGCAGAACATCACTCTCCCTTCCCAAAGGGTGAATGTTAGAACTTGACTTTGCCTTTCACTGGAGTTCAGTTACCTGTAAATGGGTAGCCTGGTGCAGCCCAGGCCTAACAGAAGTCCTGTACATAGCAACAGAGCGACTCCCACGTTCAAGATGGTTGACCCTGGAGCAGAAACATAAGAGGAATTTGTGATTGAATGAGGCAGCTCTTTTTGGAGTGCCTGAGTTCAGTATTGCTGTTTGCCAGCTACCTCCCCAGCACACCTGGAAATCTCATCCTCTCCTTGATTTCAGCCTGTATCTCTGTGTCTATACTATGGATTTCTCTTACTTGTACCAAGTAAGAAAATCCAAGTACATACAAATGCTGAACAGGAACTCCAGCTCCCTCGGTCCGATGATACTGTGCTTGTTGCAGGGACACATACACACACCAATCCCCTGGATCTATCTAATTAACCAACCTCTACGGTATCCTATCTGTCAAGAGGGGCAAAGATCAATTTTACCTGTAGTGGGACAGAATTTCTGCATCATCATCTCATTATTTGGTTATAACAACCAAATCTGGTCCCAAGAAACTTGACCAGATAACATGCTGGACACTTTTCCAGACACTGTTTCTGACTGATTACAAGTGACTTTCTCCTCACAATGTGTAGCAAGTTTATCATAACTGGAAACCAAGGGTTCATCTCCTGTTTTGAAACTGATCACAACAGGCTCTTTAGTACTTGAAAAATTCTGCTAGGTGACTCATTAAGAATAAGATGATACAGACATTAAGACGTTTCCCTCAAACTCACTGCTATATAATAAGCACAACGAAGAGTTCTTTGTAATCTTCAATTGTATTTGCTCTGTTGACTACGACCTACACATTAGCAGTCATCTAGCCTGTGTTCTCATACACTGTGTTACAGAAAATGATAGCCTCCACAGTTTCATTTGGCACTGTTTATAGATCCAAAGCTCCGCTTTCATTTTAATAGAATGCATCACCAAGCCACCTGTCCCAGGATTCTATAGTATGGAACCAATGGAATAATAAAACTAAAATTATGTTGTGTCAATGGACCCCTCCACTTGCGTAACTCCCTCACACTGAGTGTTTTCTCCTCTCCTCTTTGCAATTCTCCAAATTCCTCTTTCATGCTACTTCTGGTTTTATTTGTGAGTCCTATATATTTTGTTCCATGAAAGGGTTCTTGGGAGTGATGGTATAGGTAGCTCCTTCTATCTCACCATTCTATAGCAAGACCAAGGCCTAGGCTGAATCACAAGTCCCATCTGCCAGAGAATACCCCAGAGCATTCAGGAATTATTCAGATAAATCTTTAGGGCAGACCATGTTAATTGATCCCAACCCTAGAGGGTGGGTCTGCTACCACTAGAGTTTCCAGGCTATTTGGAAATCAACACAGGATGTGTGAGGAAGGCACATGTGTTGGGCCAACCATGTACTGAGCTCAGTAATTGCCATAAAATTCTGAATCGGTCCCATCAAAACAGCCTCAGTTTGGATGTGGAAGTCCCCCAAGGCCATAGATGTGACGTTCTCCAGCACCAACTCAGACAGGGAAACTCTACCAGACTCCAAAACTGAAATTAAGCACTCTCCTCTTTCCTACTGATGCCCCCATTAATGCTCCTCTATCCTGTGTCCATGTTCTCTCAAGAGAACACCTGAACCAAGGTAATCATGTGATAAGGTAGTGGGCTGTTCTCCAGAATTTGTACTTGCAGAAATGCAAAGGTCTCAGTACAGGCTGTGTCTCCATTATCTGGAATTTCAAAATCCCAACTACTACCAAAAACCAAAACCTTTTTCATGGGTGACTGATAGTAACACCTTTGCTTTAAAATTGTTCAATGTACCTAAACTTTGTTTCATGCACCAAATCATTAAAATATTGTATAAAATTATATTCAGACTATGTGTATAAGGCGTATACAAAACATAAATTAATTTCATGTTTAGACTTGTGTCCCATCGCCAAGATATCTCATTATGTATGCATATGCAAATGCAGGTATTCCAAAATCCAAAACACTTCTGGTCCCAACTATTTCAGGTAATGGAAACTTAAGCTGTACTGGAAAAGTAGAGGAGAATTTAAATGCTGCTTACGATTACAATTGTCCTTCTGTTCTTGCGGACTTGAGATCCGAGGTTTTAAATATTCATGGAGTGGTGACCTCCATTAAGATCAATGGGGCACATCCATGGAGGTGTACCCCATTCAAGCTTATGGGGCTTGAATATCAGTGAGTCTCTGTTTTTGCAGGGGTGGTGGTGGGTCTGGAATGGATCCCCTGTGAAAACGGAGGGCTGACTGTATACAGTGCGACTGATATTTCTAATTTACTTTTTTTCTCCAAGGGATGTGTAGTTTTACAATACTGAAATGTCTCTTGTAAAATCTTCTTTCAGCAGCCTAGTTCAAGACTTTGGCATGGTAGTGTTGACCTACAGAGGCCTTTTAGCAATACTGTGAAACCTCCTATGAAGAAATCATGCCAAGAAAACCCCACGATTGCCATAAGTCGGAAATGACTTGAAGGCACACAACCACCTGCCATCGTGAACCTCCTATATTCACACATAGAGAAATTGTGCACATGATGAAAATACATTATCATAACCATCAAAGGAAGTATTTTATACAATGTCTTCATGTGCTTTGCTACATCAGTTGCTTTCTGTATAGAGGACAGGGAGAATTTAAATTAAGACGGGCCTTATAGAATCAGACCTATAACTGTTTCATTACTTTTTGCCTCCCTTGCATGCAATTGTATAATCAAGACAACATGTCTGTGTGAATTGCTGTAACTTAATGTACTGCCCTCACATTCACAATCCTGTTGTATTGCTTTGAAGTTATATATATCATGCGGTCCCAAGGTAGCATCGCCGAGAATGGTTGCCAACTGCTTTTCAACCAGGCAGAAACTCACCAGGTTGATGAGGTATCTCTGCTAACACTTCTGGAGACCAGGGTCCCCAGAAACCATCAAGAGATGTGCCATCAGGCTTGGTGCGAACTCGGATGTGGTACTTCTGTCCAGGGAGCAGATCATTGAGATAACAGATGTGACTTTCTTTTACTTCAAACTATAAGAAACAGGAAGAGGCAAAAGTAGGGATTTATGGAAGAAATATCTCCCATTGAGCCAGCTGTTACTTGTTAACAAAGAAGCCTGTCTTCTTCCCACATTTACAGGTATATAGACCTTGCAGTAGCACATTCCCCCCCCCCCCCATATAAGCCATACCCTTAATGGTGGGTCCCTGGAGCCTTCAATGTGGTAAAGAACCTCATAGGCCAAGAAATCCGCATAGGCAATGGGTGGGGGAATCCACATCACACGCAACTGTTGTGCCACCCCAAGCCACTCAGCTGTTACATTTGTTGGTGGAGCAATGAGACCTGAAAAAGAAAGTGTGTGTGTGTTGGGGAGGTGGGTAGAGATTAAAATGAAAACTTATTCTTCATCTGTTTGCTAGCCATTAAATGCAGGAAAGCGCTGGGAATTGCCCTTCTGAATTGGGTGGAAAGGATTCAGATAGACAAAGGTCTAATCTGCACTGCAGAAATGATGCGGTATGGGATGCAGTGAAGTGGGTAAGGAGTTGATTATGTGGATTGCAAGACTGGCAGGTTCAAGGCCCAGGTGCTGCATGATGGGGTGA